GACAGCCGAAACAGGATTAACCTCTCACCTTCAAAGAAAAGAAAATCACTGTAAATCTCATATACATTTGTTTGTTTTACTTCGACTTTTATTGCTCTGGTGGTAAACGATAAGGTCGTCTAACTCTTAACACATATTCATCCAATTCATCATCATCATGAAAACAATAAGAACGTGATAACAAAGACAATTAACAAAAGGAAGCGCAATGCCTCCATCCCAAACAATGATGAAGAGAACCAAATCACATACTTTTCAAAGCATAGTGATGCTCAACGTCACATATACCTCATTTAAATAGCACCAAACCTCTCTCTCCCTGCTTCTTTAGCATGAAAACCCTCTTTCTATGAATAGGCACATTTTCCTTTGACCTGAATAAGGGAAACTATTGTTTTTAAAAAAACCAAAAATGTCATAAACTTATCCATACTTAGAGACAATATTCAGGGTGTTGAGCGTATGAATCCTAATGAGCCTAATTACCACTTTTCAGGCATGTATTTTCTCTTGTAATTTTCTTCTTCATCATAGTCAAACTCTGCTGCAGCCGAAAGTTGGGGTATTTGGCCTTATTCTTTTCAAGACTCAAATTTTATTGCTACATATTTTCTCCCACCAAAATTTAAATTCAACCTTTTAATACTAAGGGCATCTAATTCTTAACACATCACCATTTCAGTTCATCATTCAGAAAATATAAAACATAAAAACTTAGTCAATTAACAAGAAATAGTTTTTTTTTTTTTTTTTTCCTCAGCCGTTGGATGAAGGAGAAGGTAAACGCACTGGTAAAAGAAAGTACCAGTGGCCACACGATCCACGCTAGCGTTATAAGCCCTGAGGCCCTCGCACGCCGATCTGAACTTGGCGAGAGCATCATCAGGCGTCAATCTGATGGCCCCAACGACGGTGATGTGGGGCTCGAACTGGGGCCCATTGAACTCGGCTCGAAGCCCCTCCATCAGCTTCCTCAGCCTGGCGCCAACTTCATCCGGTGGAATCGCCCACACAGAATAAACTTCTTTCTTGACTTCTTGTTGGTCGGAAATCGTTTCTGGGGTTGCCATGAAATTGAAGACGAGGAAGAGAGAGAAGCCCAAAAGTCCGAGAAAGGCTAAGGATTTAATAAAGTAGAGGTTTTGGAACATTAACAACATTCATGCGAGTTGATGAGTGATGAGAAAAATCCATTTCTTTTGTAGCTTTTTTGGTAGATCAATTCAATCCATGGTGATAATATTTTATTTGGTTTGGGTTAAAATAATGGTTAATTGAGAAAAAAAGATTGAAATTGAGGTGTTAAATTGTTGGCGTGGCATTACGCAACTTCCGATAGTGGATTGTGGTGCAGTGTGGTAAAGACGCTTTTATTTATGTTTTAAGGTTTGATATTTTGCGTTCGTGCCTTGTTATCTTATTTTTTATGAAAAATTAAGTGGATCTTCGGAAGCTCATAAAAGTAAAAATTAATTAAATAATTAGTAAAAGATTAATTTAGACTATTTTTACATATTTAGAGGATGTTTGGTTGGAAGATTTAAATTATGATTTGAATTATGATTTATGGTTCGTTACAGTATTTTTTCTCATAAAAAATACACGTAAATCAAAAATGATTCTAATCACATGATTCTAATCCATGAATCAAACGTCTCTTTAATGGTTCTAGTTCTAGAGATTACTTCTAGGAAAATAGTAGAAAATATGCTAATATGAAAAGTTTAAAAAAGTATATAGGTCAATTTTTAAATATAAAAATTAATAGGTCATAACTTGTCAAGTTATAGTTCATAATTAGATAAGTTATGAATAAACTTGTTAAGTTATAGTTCATAGCTAGACAAGTTATGGGCAATTATAACCAATAACTTGTCAAGTTATAGTTCATAATCAGACAAATTATAGACGAAAATAATAATTTAACCTATTTCTTAACTTATGTAAACTATTAACCTATTAATTTTAATTTATCTCAAATATTAACCTATTTCTTTCTTTCTTCCTTAGTCCAAGAGGCCGATCTCTTCTTTTGAGTAAAAAAAAAAAAAAATTTGTTGGCTTTACGCGTGGAAAGCCACCCACATGCTTGAGTAGTGGAAGTGAAAAATTCATTTATTTTCGCTCCTTATGAATAAAAATAATTTAGAAAAAAAAAAAGCAATGGTAGATTCTTCGAATATCTTTATAAAGGGATTCGTTTACAAGAAGTCGTGATAAAGAGGATTTACCAATGTATGAATAGGAATCCAAACTCCGCAGAACAGGGAAACCCGCATATAGGAGCTGGCGTAATCTGAAGTTGGAGAGGTTTTCTCTTAGTTATGGCACCGATTGGAACAGATTGATTTCTGGGTGTGTGTGGAAAATATTGCATTTGGTGAAGTTCTTGTAATGGGCACATGTTTTCTGTAATGGGTACGAGTTGAAGAGGGACCTCGGTTTCTCAGGACTTGGGTATTGGGCTTTTCATCAGCCCAGAAGGAATTGAGAAGTTCTTGGGTGGAACTTGGAAGTCATACTTGTGTGGGGAGAGAGTGATATTTTAGAGGAGACTTCAGCAAATTTACGTGGTAATCTTGATAAATATTTTTTAAAGTGTATGAATCAAAATTTTTATTTTTATAATTTTTTTAATTAAATAATTATATTAATAAAAAAATATTTATTAAAAATAAGAGGTAAAAGTTTAAATTTACACATTTTTAAAGGTAAATTCTCTATTTTTTCAATTCCATTAATGGCTAAATTAAATTTTTGGATTAATCTCATCAATGATCCCTAAAGTTTATACTCTTAGTTTGGTCTCAGACTTTTAAAACCTCTATAGTTGGGCTTTGAGGTTTTACTCTGGTTCAGTTTTGGTCCTACCGTTAATTAGGTGTTAAATATTTGATGAAATCTCTACAAATTAAGGATCAAAATTGAAATCAATAAACTTTTAAGGACTATCTATGAAAATTAACTTTCAATTTTTATTCTTTTAGTCCCTATACTTTATGTTTTCAATTTTTTCCATAATTTTCACAAATTCTGTCAAATATTTAACACTTAGCTGACAAAATAACTAAAACTAAAACAAAATAAAATCTCAAAACAACATGTGAGATGTGCTAAAAGTCAGGGATCAAAGTATAATTACGAGTAAGTTTTATGGGACTCACCCTAAATTTTTTACAAGTTTAATTAGCAAAAATAAAAAATAAAAAATAAAAACAAAAAACGAAACAAAGAACATAGATACTGTGATAAGATGACTGCTGGGTACACTAACTATAGTTCTAACTTTTTATATTTGTCATTTTTTTTTCATTAGTAAATAGAGTTATTATTAACTTATATGATATTTTTTAAACACTAATCAATAAGAAATAACAATTAAAAGTTGATCAAAAAAATTAGAATTGAAGTTGGTTTCTCTAGATCTATTCCTGTAATAATGTGTTTTTTAAACTTCAAAATCCCCTAAATCTAATATTTTTTTGCTCTTTCTAAACTTCATCAATAATTATAGCTTCTGGCATGACTTTATGTCGGTCTAACCGTCAAGTCCAATCTCGACATGAGTCATGAATCTGCTATAGAATAACACAATATAATATACAAAAAATAAGTTGTATTCAATAATATAGAACGTATTAATTTACCATATGTATTAATTTATACAATACAATGGTCATACTAAGGGTCTGTTTAGTTCACTGATTCAAGTTTTTAATACGAGTTGATATGTGATTTTATGTGAAAGTTTTTTATTGTAGCAAAAAAATTAGATGTGACTGTTTCTGAAAGCTTTTTACTGTAGCAAAACTCAAATTTTAAACTCGAATCGGTGAAATGAACGGGACCTAAATATTATACTAATGTATTGTTATACAATATGTTATTCTAATACGGTCAAATAAACATGCTGTAAAGTTTACGAAATATTTGAATGAGAAGAACTCCTGAAATGTTCTGCCCAAATATGCTTAAAAGTAATGAGAGGTCTTTGAATGAAAATGGATGCAGGAAATTTGGGAGGAGAGGAGCTGGGAGTGAATGAGTGATGCATTTTGAATTGTAATAATTGCCTGAATTAGTAGTTTTAAAGTTTTATTTTTGAGTGTAGTTTATTTCTCATTTAGTTATTTTTTTTTCCCCCAATTCACCATTTGCGTTCTTTTAGAAAAGTTAGCTCGTCATATTTTTTTTATAAGGCACCGTTAGTCTGTTATACTACTTCTTAATTCTTTCACTTCCTTTTTTCTTTTCATAAAAGGAAAAATTCTTTGGAATATACTATTCATTTTATCATTTCATCTTTATATTTTTCCATTGTCATTTGTGAAGCTCAAACAGTTTTTTTTTTCTTTTCTTTTTAAAGAAAACATAAAAAAAAAATATATAAGTAGCGACTGCCATCATATGACTGAAGGCTAGGTCTTTTGATCACTAAAGAGTATATATATATATAAGTAGCTACTGCCATCATATGACTGAAGGCTAGGTCTTTTGATCACTAAAGAGTATATATTAAATCCCAGTTCATGCTTGTTTCATTACATGGATAGATTTAATTATTTCCCAAGTATTAATCTTTGGTGCAACACGCAACTTATTGACAAGCGACTCTATACATACCCAACTTTGCCTAAATTTGTTCTAACGAATTAGAACGCAAAAAAAAAAAAAAAAAAAAAAAAAAAATTTAAAGACTCGCAGGACAAACTATACTATGCATAAATCCCATAATCGACATCGTTAATCAAGGAACTGAATGGCTAAAACTCCTAAACTAGTTTATCGATTTGTCATCTTTATTATATTCCTCGTTCTTTTTATTCAATCCCGTGAGTACACATCTCTTATCTTGTTTAATTGTTATATATTTTAAGAATTCATGTTTAGTAAATGTATTTATGTTGTATTAATTGCATTTTACAATTACTCAGAATCAGATAATTGGCTGCACCAGACCATTTGTGAAACAAGAGTTGAGTCACTGTCACGATGTGGAAGACAAAGCAAACATTGGAAGGGGTTGTGTTTTGATAACACAGAGTGCAACAAGAAATGCCAAGTTCTGGAGACAGCAGTCAATGGGATGTGTTGCTTGTTCAAGTGCACCTGCACATTCAAATGCTAGCCAACTTTTAAATCTCAATTTTTTTTTTCTACAATATTTTCTCTCTAAAAAATTTTGATTTTTCTTTTTTTCATACTTTTGAATGCACCTGCTGATCAAATATTAGCCATTTTGTGTCTTTTTTTTTCCTTTCTTTTTTTACTTCATGATGATCTATGACTTAGTTGCAATTGCCTAAGGCCCCTTAAGTAACTTATCAATGCCCCATTTTCACCGCATCATAAATATTACTCTACTCATTTGTTTGAAACTGAGGCCTTTTTTTTATTAAACGTCTTAAGATTGAGGCTTCTAATACATTTATATCCTCTATTTCAAATTTTTGTGTAGATGTGAGTGTGAGTATTTTGACTTCAAAAGTAATAAGTTTTAAGATATATACTCAGATAACTATGTTGAAGAACATTAATAGAAATAAATCATTTTATATAATATATTGACCGAGTAACCAATAATTATGATGAATATATACTTTTAGCAAGCAAAAAATAAATAAAGACGATATATATGTCCTGTGATGGGTACCAAAATTTGTGATTGGTAACTAGACTGAATTTTATTGGACAATGGTCTCTTTTCCAATTAAACTTATTTTATTCTTGATTCATCGAGTGAACGTGGAAAGAGTAACGTTCTCACTTCGATCAAGAATAACTTACATTAATTAGTAATTAGTTTGAGATTTTTTTTTTCCAAACGTAGTGTAAGAGATAGACGATGTAACTCCATGCATCAATAAGGGCCTTCTTTCGTGCATTATGATAATTGAAAATGTAGTGTAGGATAACATAATAATAATAATAATAATAATAATAGTAATCCAATGAATTATATCACTAGTATAATGACTAAAACCTCCTATGTGTTTATTCCAAATACAAAGATTATCCTTTGTTTATTTATTTTTTCTCTAATGAAACAAAATCTAACACTTTGTTTTTCTAATCACACAAAATTCCCATTCAACACCATATGTCTCGAAAATAATTCAAAATTGCCCTTAATATATATATATATATGGGTAAATGATGTCTTTTTTAAAGAGAAATCCCAAAAGCAGGAATACTTTGATCTTCAAAACTTCCAGCATTTGAGAGTAACCAATCCTTATTTTTTTTAATAAGAAATCGTTTCTTTTAGGGTAATGTTTAGGGTCAATTATTGTTCTTAAAGTTCAAGGAATCATTTCTTTTATAGAGGGCAAAAAAGGTGTTTTAACGTATAATATATTTGTATATGCATATATATATATATATATATATATATCCTAAATATATAGAAGGGCCAACATTGGCTTCTCTTCCTCTTTTC